AGCATTGCTAATTTAATCAGGAAGGATGTTTTAATTTAACCTAACATGGTACTGATAATTCACTCCTCTTAAACAGAAGATGCTTTTTCTCCCATGTGACAAATCTGCTTAATTATCTAATAGCACATTGTGATATTATTCCTCTGAGGGAAAAATTAGAAGGAAAATACAGAGGGGGCATAAACATTCTACAGATTTCAGCATTTAAATATAAAAAAAACTCTCCCCACTCTTCACTCAAATGATGCTGCATGCTTGTCCTGTCTAATGAAGCCAATTTACCAAAAAAGACAACAGATTTGCAGATTTGCCATAGCTAACCTGTGTCAAGTCGTTTTACAGGAGACTCCTCTTCCTCCTCTTCATCATATCTACTTCCACTGTGCTTCCTCTTTCTGTGAAGAAGGTTCTCCAGCCTGGGTATGACCACTGACAATATTGACGTAGAGCCCGAATCATCTTCAGATCCCTCCTCTTTCTCAGTGCCATTGCTTTTATCAGTTATCACCTCTTCAGTTTTAAGGACCTTTTGAGGACTAGTAACTTTAGATTTTTTAAACAAAATTGCAGTTCGGCGATTGACCGCGCCTGTGGGCTCTGCAGCTGTTGATGTATCCAAAAGACTGTGTCTGTCTAATAATGAACTTTCATGGGAGTGTCCATTTAAACAGGGGGCAGAAAGCAAGTCTGGGATTTCTTCATCAAATAAAGTGGGCATACTGCGTGTTTTGTCATCACAGGCTTGTTCTATGTCTATTGGTTTCAGTGTTGGGGGCTCGGGGTCTGCTTCTGAGTGGATGAGAGGGGGTATAGAGTTTGATGGCTCTAGTTTTGGAGGAAGAGATTTGTCAACTGTATTGATGACAGAAAAAAGACAGAAAAAAACAGTTACTTCAGCTACAAATTATTTTCATTATTCATCTAAATACTTAAAATGGTGGTTCCTAGTTTAATATGCTTATTGCCAGTACTATCCTGTGATTTGTGGACAAGCGCTTAAAAATTCTAGCAATCTAGAACAATGTGTCAAATCAGTAACAATTCAGAACAATTCAGAATATATACTTTTATATTTCCAAGAAACACATTATAAAGAGTCCCATTCCCCAAAGTAACGGCAATATATTATATTTATATGTATATACTGAGCTCCTTTGCAAATCTGTGTAGATTATTTAAAATAGTTCATTACCCATTATAAGGACTAAACGTTTTCAGTTTATACTCGTGGTCAAAGCAAAAATCTGAGCAAAGTAAAATGCTTCAAATTATTATTTCACTTATTTATGGCTGATCGGTGCTACTAATGAAAACCATCTCTCCGATAGCCTGTGAATACCATACATACCTTCATCATCTGTAAAATGCCCATTTATTTTTAATGTGTCTTGTTGAGGTTTTTGTGAGTGGCCTGAGGATGTTGGGTTGGAAGAACTGTGGCGGTGACAGGGCTGGACTCTCTTCAGACTCATTTCATTTCGCACATCGTTGATGGTCTTTTTGAGGAGTTTGAGGCGTTTGCTGCGGGAGGGACTAGACTTCATGGCGAATGTCAGATCAAACTTCTCCAGTAACTGCTGTAGCTGCTTCTCAAGAGGGAGGTGGGCGCGGTTGGCTGGGGCTAGTACACGGTCAACTACAACAAAGACAAAGACCAGAAGTGAACAACTATGTTCTTCAAAGCAATTAGAATAGAAAGATTCAAAGGTTAGAAAAGAAAATGTGCTGATGAGTAATAACTAACCGGTTTATCAAAAGAGAAACTGTTTGAAGTAGATCTTGCACTAAAATCTGTACTAGTAAGAAACCATAAAGATACATCTGGAAACTATTTGGGCTTCCACCTACTTGTCTCCATGAAGATGTGATTGCTTTGACAAAAAATTTTCACAGCATGGCATGAAACTTGTTTAGCACCATGGAGATAAGCACGTGATGCCACCAGGCCAAGTAAAATTTAATTATTTATTTGTTTGTTCTTATTTTATTTTCTGTAATCTCTTTAATCAGTTTCATTATGAGAGAGAATTTCAAATGACATTGAACTGAATATAGAAAAATTTCAGTTTAGTCTCACCATCTTCCCAGGAAAATGCAGGGACTGTTTTCACTTCAGGAGCTTCATCCAAATGTAGGCCACTTTCAGTATCAAAGCCTATGGTCTCTAGGTCCCGCCGTGCTTTTCTCAGCACAACCCCGCCCTGATCTCTGAGCCGGACAGCAGCACGGTGAAAGTATGTGTCCTTGGAGTTGTACCTCATGCAGTTGTCAATAATCAGATTAAAGTCTTCTTCAAACTGGGTAAAGCTTCTGTAGACTTGACCGTCAATGCGCTGCCGCATGGTGGAGAAGTCCATGGGATGTTTAATGTGGTCAAGGTAATCAGGCACCTAAAAATAATAGTAAAAGATAAAGTAAATTATTATCATTATTATTAGTGGATTCAATATATTGCTTGCTCTTAACTACAGCTCAGTCAATTAACGTTTGTCCTTTTTTAAGGACAAAGGCACTAGAACTAATTTATCTCATTTTAGGTCATGCTTAGCCCTAATACAGGCTTGATAGTCCAGGCTTTTGATCAGGTGGTACTCAGAAAAACAAATAAAATCTTAGGTGGTACTTGGTGTGAAAAATTTGAAAATGCATTAATTAAACTAACAAAACAAATAAGGTGACATTTTATACAATCAAAGTAACAGGACTAATAAAGTAAACATAGACATGAGGTAAAATAAAACTCACCGCCCAACGTGGGGCTCGAACCCACGACCCTGAGATTAAGAGTCTCATGCTCTACCGACTGAGCTAGCCGGGCTTGTTTAAGTGTTGTTTTTGTGGGCTTTGTGGGTGTCACCATCTGCTGCTGACAGTCATTCTCAGGTTTCACACCAATCAGGAAGTGGCTTTACTCTTACCAAAAAGCCCACATCTCTTAACATACTAAACTGTGCATATACAATAAACTGAATCAGAGAGAACTGTCAAGAAATCTAGAAATTTTATTAGTTATTGTGATACACATGGGCACAAGCTTGGATCTTTTCATCACAGGATTTGCTTTTATTACAATCATCTCTAATCAACACCATTGTGTTTGTATGGTATGTCTTAATAAATTCATACTCAAACTGTCAAGGCACCTATCAAAGGTTCAACAAGTATAGATTTTATATGCATGTTTCAATAGATTTGAGTAATAATGATTATAAAGCTTGAAGCCAACTATGTGTTTTTGGATTTTGAGAAGACTTATTCAATCCAGTCCATTATAGAAAGAAAACCAATCGCTCAACATGAGGCTGGAACCCATGGCCCTGAGATTAAGAGTCTCATGCTCTACCGACTGAGCTAGCTGGGCTTAAAACTGAACCCCTATGACATGCCAATAAAAAATACATATATATATACATTTATTTAAGCAATACCTCAGTAACATCAACAGGTTGGGCATAGATCCTTGCTTGGTCCTTTGCTTGTAGTTGGTCCAAAACACCCCTGAGAAAAATACTGAAGGGGGTCAACTGAATCTCAAGAAGAGTCTCCTGAAGCCTAATCTGGGAAACACAGAAGCATTGCTTAGTTAGACTCGCTTCAAAACAACAAAGAACTCTTTGAATTACTCGTGTACCTAAACATGCCCAATAGACTCATGACCAAGCTTGGTGCATGTGAGTGACCGAGGTCTCGAGATTGTCTGGGTGCAAACACTGTCCCTTACACTCACCAAGTTACTCACTGAAACTGGTTGGGATGTGCTTGGGATGAGCCAAACACAAAGTTTAGTCACAAATACCTCTTCTCTCTTGATCTTCTCCCTCTTTCGGATAAGTTCCAGTAACAGGCGCGCTCTCTCCAGGTCGTGCCTCAGACGGTGCCACTCTTTCAGCTGAACTTTAAGGGCTCTGCTCTCCTCATCATTCCTTTTCTGTGAATTTACATTTATTTGTTAAAAAATCATCTCTCAAGCAATGAGAGGGTGTTTTTTGTTTGTTTAACATTTTGATTGCATTTTGTGTTTTGCCCTACACATGTTGCAAATTGACCCCAAAAAATTTTTAACCAAGCAAATATAGCTCAAATGAAGGTTAAATGTAGGTTACTTCAGGGCAACAGCTACAACTACTTAAAACAAACTCACTCTAGTCTACAGTCTATATTACTAGGGATGGGACGATATGGATTTTTTAGCGCTGATATCTGATATTTAGCCAATGGCAGTGACCAATAATAGATATTTGCTGATACTGATATTTTGTATTTAAAATTCAGAGCAAGGCCCAGAAATGTACCTAAGTTAAACAATCACAAATAAACTTTTCACTTTTGTAAAAAATAATAACAAAATGTAGTTTAGTGGGATTTAAAATATTTTATTAAAATATCAGTATTGAATGTCGTTATCGAGAATCGCTATAGACTGATATAGATATTGGCCATTTGGTGTCGATATCAGCTGATACCAATATATCGCCCCTTCCTAATTCTTACAACACTTTAAGAGTGGGGTAAAACATTATGACCATAAGGCCACCACAGTAGAAGTACTGTAGTAGTAGTAACTTTTAAATTAAGGTTACAACTAAAATGACTCAATTACACATGCCACTGTATTATAGATTGTTACATAAAAGGCTGTGCAGGACATAATGTTTTACACCTGTTTAGTGCATTTTCTACTAACTACTGGTAAAAGTAAAAAGACTGATGTTGTTCAGTGGTTGACTGACAGATGAACAAACCGGTTGTGCATTCTTCTTGGACTGGAGGCTTGTCTGGAGTCGTTGGATGAGGGGGAGGTTGTTCCTGGACTCTCTCTTCAGCGTCCAGTAATTCAGGGCGAGCTCAACAAACGCTCTCTTCTTTTGAACAGACACCTGGTTGAGGATAGTTTGTAACCTGGGGCAAAGCAGTAGACAAAGATCAGTTGAAAGAAAAAGTCTGGAAGACATTCACCGCAATTCACATAAGTTAATGTTGCCAGTGCATTTTCTTTTAAAACTAGTCTGTTTAAAAGAACATGCCTTTGATAACAATTTTTATGTCCAAATTAACCTACATTAAGTGTATGGTGATGCTGGCCGAAAAAAGTAAGCATTAGTGTCAACATGAATGCTCCTTTAACAGAGCGTGCACTGTTCTACATAAGATTTGCATACATTTCAGGAGGCTTAACAAAGAAGAGGTGGGCTCTTGTGCCAGAAGGATTTTGAATGAAAAGGCTAAAACCACAGTCTATGGCTAAAACTAAGCTTTGTGTACTTACAAAAAGCAGCTGCAGGCTGTGATAGCAGTTATAGTAATTGTAGTTTTTAGTTTACAGTGTTGACAAACAAGTATCATGGACAGAGCCACAGTTGCAATAATTCAGAAGAGTTACTCAGAGTGCAATAACTGTGCATTTTGTCACAATTGAGTTAAGACCAAAAACCCCTTTATAACATCTGTTTTATTTAGTGACAATATTTATAGCTCTACTCTGTTCCATTGAAAGATCACTCTTAAATTATGTCTTCTCAGATCACCTTACTTATGCCATTTTAATACACATTTGGAGGTATAATGTGAAATCATTGGTGATGGTTATGGCCTTCCGATGTTTATTAAGTATTTATTCATCATACAGTAACACATAAATATACTACAATTAGTGCTTCTCTGACAAACAGACAGAGTGTGAGAACTTTGTAGAGCAGTATATTCTGTGTGTGTTAGATTTCCGTTTGTTGTACCTGTGAGTGGGAAACAAAGGCACTGGGCTGGCAGGAGTTTCATCTTCACTTTCTACTTCAGGCTCTGTTTTTTTAGTCTTCTTTTTCAGATTTCCTTTCGAATGCCCTTTGTCATTCTGCTTACATAATCCATTTTTTGGTTTGATTTTATTGTAAATGTTCAGTGGCCTTCTTACACAACCATGAGGCGTGTGCGATCCGCAGTAGGCTGTTTTCTTCACATAAATGTTGGCCTCTCTTGAGTCCGCCCCCTCTTTGACTGGCTCCAGCTTCATATAAAGACCAGCCTTTTGGGCACAGCTCACATGAAAAGCAGTGTAACAGTTCACTTTGTGGCACTGGATGCACGCCCCAACACCTTTTTCTTTACAGAGGTAGCAGGTGAGTTTCCAGCGAGTAGAGGGGATTTGGCTGACCCCGTCTATAGGTTCAATAAAAGTTGGATTGGCAAACCCCACTTCAGGTATCCAGAGTGCACAAACAACATGCCCCCAGCAGTCATCGTCAGTCCTTTTCACTGCTCCTCCTGTGTTGGGACAAAGAATACAGTCTGCAGGCTGATTAGGAGACTGGAGGCAGTGGCGGCACAACCACTGGCCTTCTGGAATATAAGGAACACCGTAGCATTCCTGGTGCACAGCAATGCTACACATACCACAAAACAGAATGATATTGGCATCGTGAGCCTCACTAGCCATGCAAATGCAACACACTGAATCATCGTCTAACGGAGTAAGGTTTTCACTGCTTTGATCTAAACTTTCCAGATACACCTCTTTCTCAAAACGGTCAATTAAAAACTCAAACACATTGTAGGACACTTGACTAATGCCCTCACTTCGCCGTTTCTCATTGACCAAATCCAGCCAAGCATAGTCTTCCTCATCCATGTCATACTCCGTTTCCTCATCCAACTCTTCTTCAGTTTTCTCCTTGTATTTATAGTAAGCTGCAGGGCGCTGACGAACCGCTGGAAGGTTGTATTCAATTGTACGAAATTGTGGCTCAGGAAGTTTTGGGCCAGGAGGTGGCAGGGGTGGTTGTCCATGTTGATCTTCATGACAGCTGATTCCCATGGCGGCATTTCTTTTTTCTTTGTTGTTTTTTAACCTCACAGACCTCAGAAGAACTTGTTGTGGTTTGTCAGCATTTTCTTTATTACTTGTAGACTTCATCATCTCCTGCAACATGGGGTCATCATCTGTGATCACCTCCAGCTTGTCGAATATGCTTATTCGGTGTATGCGCCCATCCACCTCGAACTCCACCATGCGCTGGGCTTGTTCGTATGTGAGAATCTGTTTGTTGGGAGAAGGTTTGATAGGAGACGGCGGCCTCGGTGGAGCTGCAGCACGGGGAGGCCGAACTCTTTTCCTCATCTTTTTGATACTCCGTGTTCCTGTAAAAACACATACCAAATGAGACAAAAATGTAAGGCAGAGCAATTATCTTTCATTGATTTAAACTAGAATATTATAGAACTTATGTGAAAATATGATAAGTGAAATATTTTACAGACTTATATACAAAATGAATTATAAACATTGATTATCCCACATAATGTCCATTATGTTAATGTGCGTTTGCACTTAACAATTTTGTCTATTCCAGTGTCTCATTCATGTGTCACTGAAGCTCCTTCAGGTGGTACTTAGATAGCTCTTCAGTATGAGGGTTTGTCTAATTTAAGAATCATTTTATCCACTTTTTTGTTTAGAACTACAGTGGAAATGATGTAGGCCACTTTCAGACAAGGTTTAGAGCTGGAATAGTGCCGCTATATACTTTACTGTGATCTGGTGGTACCCCGAAAGCCACCTTTTCTTTGGTGGTACTTGGTGTAAAAAGTTGAGCGCCACCGGTCAATCTTCATACTCTAACCCTAATAAGTGATGCTTCCATTGTGTTCACTGCATTTTACAAGTATGAAGGAAATTTATCCTATTGATTGTGACAAAATATTTGACTAAAAGTAAAACAAAAGTTTTGATTGTTTGAACAGAACAAAGGAGAGACCCTCATTGAAATTGTTTTGTTACTTTTAGGGGTTGGTCACTGGGCTCAGCGGGGGCATTTAAACCCCGTGAGAGGCGGTCACACCGCTCAGTTGAGCTTGGACTACAGCCTGGTCAACACTTGCCAATTTGGCGTCAAAAAGCAACTGGCTTGTCTCGGACTTGGCATCAAATTAGCCAAGTTGCTAACAATAACATAGCTAAAAAGCTAGCTAGCAACTAAGCCGCCCCCAAATCTGAGCAAATGGCGTCAAACACAACGAAGCATTTTAAACGCCCTGTGTTTAAGAGGTTTGGAGGCACTATGGAGAAGGTTCGGGACGCTTTCCGTGGGTAGAGAAATAAAATGATGTGCACATACCTCCGTCTGTGAGGTTTAGTTAGTAGATGGAGATGATGGCTTGTCCGCAGCTTCACAAAGCCACGATAGGCCCTGCTCGGCGGCTCTAGCTCCGTGCACACTGTCCTCATCCGAAATACACTCCTTGCTATAGCGGTAAAACAGAAGGCGTATTCTGGACCGAACGATACGTTTGCTTTAAATTTCGCTGTTTTACAAATATGTTTGTTCTTTAAAAGCTAAAAGGGTATAGCAACTCCTTGCTAGCCATCCCCGAGCTAGAGAACAGCGGAACAGAGGTTCATCCCCCAACAACAATGCTCTCGAAGCAGACAACTCCCACCCGCAGCAGCGGCAGCGCACTCAGAGCAGCCAGAGCCATGGGCCAGACGAGTGACGGAGGTCATGTTGGTGTTGAGCTGTAGCGCTCACACAAAAGCCCATCTGTCACACAATCAATGCGTCTCCCTTTGTCAGCCTGTGTATCCTTATTGAGACAAAGCTTCAAACAAAGCATGGATCTATACAACAGAATATATAACGTTAGTATAAGACAATGTTCTACCCATCATCGAAATCGATTTAGATAAGTACAAGTTTGTGGGTCATTTGGGTATTTGATGGAGTTGAAGAGGCTAAAACGTGAACAAACACCAAGGGCCATGGGCGCACGTTGCCATAACAACAAACGCACTAACCTTGTGCGTGAGTGCGTCGTCCCCATAGTCTATGCTTATGTCTATGGTCGTTCCAGTGACTTTTTACTGCTACCAAAACTTGGCTCATTCTTTTATTCAGCCTTAACTGGTCCTTACGAATTGTGACAAAAACGGACAGTATGTACAGCAAATTATGGACCCATGTGGCGAGTAACATTCACAATACAAATACTTTTTTAATTCAGTTTTTAATTATGTCTATGTTTCTGACAAGTCACGCATTTATGAAGGTCACAGGCTATGCAGGCTATAGACTATATTAGTATTTACCATGGATGTATTGGGTATGGCCCATTGAAGTATAATGTCACAGTTTAGTTTGCGTTCTGTGGTTACTGACGTTTATTTTTAAGTATGTTATTGTATTAGTTTTAGCAGAAGCCAGTGAGTAACTGAAAGACTTTGGGGAGAGACGTATATTTATGTTTTCTGTACGGATTTGTCGCTGGGTCGACCATGGGTTCGACCTCTTTCTGTGACATCACCATAGCCGCTCTTTCTTCCGTCCGCCGCTGGGTGGCGCTGCACCGCTGCGACCGAGCGTGGACTGAGCAGAGCAGGAGACAAAAGCAACAAAGTGAGCCCCTCCGGATCAATCAAATGTGTCAGATTTAACTGTTTAGGAGCCGAAACCAAGCGCTGATATTGCCGCACAGCACCGTAAGTATCATGTGATCATGAACGTGTTTCTAAAAGTAGATTAAATGTAACCAGGGCGTTGTAGCATGGCATGGTCTGATCCAGATCCGTGTGGTTCGTATGTGGCCACGGCTGGTTCTGCCTCAGCAGGTTAGCTTCTGTCCTGAGTGTGGCGTAGCTGCAGCTAACCAGTTAGCTGTCCAGCGGTACACTGAGATTTAGCCTTTTGTGGCTCTTCAAGAATAGTGTTTTGGATCATCTTATAATGTGTGGGATTTCTGTTATTCAGAGCCATGTGACATAAGTTTTGTGTCCGTGTCTGGATAACTGTGTGTACATTAGCAACGATGGTTAGCATTATGATGGCTGTATTTACTGTAGTGGAGCTATAAATGCCATCAGCATGTTTCATCGGGTTAATTATTTAGCACTTGCATAAATAATCTCGACTTTATGGCATTCAGTCATTAATTACACCGGCATGTATCTTTTAAGTGAATGATTGTGAAAGCTAAGGGCTAGCTCATTTTTTACTGCCCCTCCACATCTTCCTGATTAGCACTGAGACCAAACCCGGAAAAACCGGTGTTGAGATGGCCCACGAGATAAGTCCTGTTACTTTATTTAATATTTGTTTAAACGTCCATATAATGGTTTCTGTGTGATGCTGTGTACTGAAACAAAGTGCGTGTCCTGTATGTATACACTGTGTATACACGGGTCAAGCTACGCCTTTGTAGACGTGGAGTTGTCTTCAAGCGTATTGTTATGCATTTTTAATTTCTTTCTAATTGAAATAAATCAACTCTGACAAAAAAACTGCAAATTGTAAAAAATAAAATACCATACCAAGATCAATATATTATTATAAGTACAATAATTTTACAATGGGTGCAGCATCATAATTGCACAGTTATCAGATTATTACAATATTTTGTGTGTGTGTTTATGTACAAGAGGAGAAAATATAGAAATGGATGAGGAGAAAAATATAGAAAGGAATAATTTACATATGCATTGCACCTTTTTAATGAGATTCAAACAGGTTCAAGTAGTTTTTCAAAAGAAATGAAACTTTGTTTATGAAGCACTTTTAATACTGTGTGTGTCTGCTCTTTCTGCTTCAGATCTCCTTGAATGGAGTGGGACAGGCAGACCTCCTGTGCCCCACGCAGCCTCATCCAAACTACATCACCTGCGTAATGCTGCTGTACCCATGACGACACCCGCTGAAACGCCCTTCATCTGACAACACTGGCCTCATTACTCACCACAAACGTTTGGGCTGCTACAATGGATGGAGAGGAGGAGCTCTCTCACATGAGCGATGACTTGGACAGTGACTTTAACAGCATCATAGAAAGAAAAAAAAGGGAAGCAAAAGGGAGATGCTTAAGAATTGAGGGAGAAGATGGCTATGTGTTCCAATCCTACAGCTTGCACTCACATAGGAGCTCAGCCACAAAGACGGCTCTCTCTAATCAAACTACTACACTGGATACTGCAAAGTCTCTTAATTTATCTCAGGTGAATAAAGCTAAAGTATCAGATTCTCAAGATGGTGACACTGATAACATGGAGTGTGAAAACTATGAAAACAGAAATGAAGAAACTCTACATAACAAAGACAATTGTGATGTTCTAAATGGCATAGAGGACATTCCTGATGATGAAAGTTTAGCCTTCGGCAGCTCAGTTGGCCCATTTGTAACTAAAGACTGTGATGATTATTCTAGTTTACTAAGTGGATACTCAAGTACACTTTATGATGTTGCAATGGACGCTGTAACACAGAGTCTTTTATCATCTGTAAGAAGTCAGTCAAATGCAAGGAAAAAGTCCCCTGCCTGGAATCACTTTTGCATATCTCCACGAGACAGTACCAAAGCAATCTGTTTATACTGCATGAAAGAGTTTAGCCGAGGTAAAAATGAGAAAGACCTAAGTACAAGTTGTTTGATGAGGCATGTACGAAGGGCTCACCCCACTGTGCTTCTACAATATGGCACAGATGCTGCCTCGGCCAGTTTCACTAACTCTCTCGCCTCACCTTTAATACCTCTCTCTCCAAACTCACCAAAAAATGAAGACTTGACAAATGATGTCATTCCTCCCGCCTCAAAGATCACTTCACTGTCCACCTCTGAAGGAGAAAATTCAGACCTGTCATCCAAAGAAGTGTTACCCAAAGTCGAACCAAAACTAGAACCATTTGACAATGGTGACTCTTTTAGCTCTCTACTCTTATCATCACATTCCAATGACATTAGTGAAGAGCTGTCGGACGGAGGACAAGAACGTCATCCTGGGACCACCAAAAGTGCAAGCACGCGTCGCAGGTCTGCTGTATGGAAACACTTCTATCTGTCACCTACAGACAGTTCCAAAGCAGTGTGTATTCACTGCATGAATGAATTCAGTAGGGGTAAAAATGGTAAAGATCTCGGAACAAGTTGTCTCATACGGCACATGTGGAGGGCCCATAAAGAGGTAGTAATTGAGGAAAATGGACAGGGCAATCACATTCCCCCACCATATACCGCCCCACCTTCCCTTTTGTCTCGAACTCAGCTGCAAGATGCACTGGACATTATAAAATCTCCCCAGCTTCCCTCCTCACCAGAAATATCTGACTATATACCCCAAAGTCTCAGTATCAAAGATGAGTATGAAGAAGTCCTGCTCCTACCCTCAGAGCAAGAGTCATCTCTCAATCTGTCTTTAGCTGCTCAAGAATACAGCACGTCCCTTGACTCGTCACCCTGCAATTTGTCAGAGGGGCCAAGCACCACTCAGGACCATTTAATATTTCAGCAAAACAAAAAGATAATGAAAAGGGTGAAGTCTGAAGTGTGGCATCATTTTATAGTGTCACCAGTTGATCAGTTAAAAGCACTGTGCCGATATTGTCCGTGTGTCATCAGTCGGGGAAAGCGGGGTGACTTTGGTACAAGCTGTTTAATGAGACATCTTATGAGACGCCATCCAGATGTCCTCAAAAACACAAAAGTTGAGGACAAAGAAACCTCCCTGCTCCCCTTTACCAGCCTCATTCCAACAGATGAACTTACTTCACAAGAAGTGGAAAGTCCTCCTGGAAAAGAGAAAAAGTCACCGTCAAGTAAGAAGACATCCAAACTGTGGAATCATTTTTCTATTTCTTCCACTGACCCCACAAAAGTAGTTTGTTTGCACTGTAACCGCACAATGAGCAGAGGCAAGAAAACAACAAACCTCGGCACAAGCTGTCTGTTCAGGCACATGCAGAGGTTTCATGGACATGTTCTTGAAAATAAAAAGACTTCTATCTCAGGTGATGTGCCCTCTGCTGAAATAGATGTAAAACAAGAGCTAACGTATGAACAGAACAATGACATGTATGATGAACATCACCCGGTTGCCAAAAAAATTACCAAACTATTAGCAGAAATGCTTGCACTGGATCTGCAGCCCTCAGCTATTATGGAGAATGCTGGATTGAACAGACTACTAGAGTACCTTCAGCCTCAGTATTCTCTGCCACCCTCCTCTTACTTTACCAGCACTGCCATACCTGACATGTATGAGAGGGTCAAGGATGTAGTGCTCACTCACCTGAAAGAAGCTGAGGGTGGCGTTGTGCACTTCACCACCAGTATTTGGGTCAGTAGTCAGACAAGGGAATACCTGACCCTCAACGCCTACTGGGCCTCATACGAGTCCAGGGTTAAGCCTCAGGGTCAGGACTTTCACTGCTCTGCTCTCCTCAGTGTCTCCCAAATAGACTGTGATACTGACATGCAGGACATCCCAAAGCAGCTGGAGTATCTGTGGGACACTTGGATCACCTCATCAGGGCTGAAGAGAGGGTTTATTGTAACTGACAACAACACCATTAGAAACACATTGGAGGACCATGGCCATGCCACCATGCAGTGTTTTGGACATACTGTTGACCTCATTGTTAATGAAGCCATAAAGAGTCAGAGAATGGTTCAAAACCTCCTGAGTATAGCCCGAAAGATATGTGAACGTGTGCACCGCTCAGCAAAGGCTAAGGAAAAACTGACTGAACTGCAAAGGGTGCATGAGCTGCCCGAAAACCAGCTGATCCAAGATGTCCCCTCAAAATGGAGGACGTCATTATTTATGCTGGAGCGGATGGTGGAGCAGAGGAACGCCATTGATGAACTGTCCATTGAGTGCAATTTCAGGGAAATAATCAGCTGTGATCAGTGGGAGGTGATGCTGTCAGTCTGCAATGCACTGAAACCTTTCGAAGTGGCCTGCAGGGAGATGGTCACTCGCACTGCCACTCTGGGACAAGTCATACCACTCATACACATCCTCAATAGAAAAATAGATCTACTATTTGATGAGACTGTAGGTATTGACAATATGCTGAAATCTCTCAAAGAGGCAATGGTCAGTAGAATGTCCTCAATGCTGCATGACCCCCGCTACACCTGGGCCACAATGTTAGACCCACGATACAAAATTTCCCTTTTCACAGAGGAAGAGGCAGAGTGTTGTAAACAAGACTTGATTCGTGAGCTGGACTCGGACTGCACTACCTCAGATGAAGTAAATTCCCATTTGGCCAATGGCTGCGACGAGTCTTACAAAGCATCCAACTCAAAAAAAGACAACCTATGGACTCTTATGAACGACGTTAGACAAAACAAATATGAGGAGAAACCAAAGTCTTCAGAGTTGGCAGTGCTGGAGTACCTTGAGGAAGACATACTTGATCAAAACTGTGATCCACTTGATTATTGGAACCTTAAAAAGTTCTTGTGGCCCAATCTAGCCAAAGTAGCCGCCCGTTATGTTGGCTGTCCCCCCAGCATTATCCCAGCAGAAACATTGTTCAGCACAGCGAGCGTCAACTGTGCCCTCAATCAACCTAGACCTCTACTGGAAAACATGGAAGGTCTACTCTTCCTCAAGGTTAACCTGCCGATGATTTATTTTCAATACTGATCCTATTATAGCATTAGCATCCCTTTAAAAACCAGGACCAAGCCACGTAGCTGTGAAGTTAAGGTATTTTTAATTGTACAATATCAATTTATACACTGATTTTTCAATGCAAAAGACTTGGAGGGTTAATTGTATTGTACTACTGTTAAACACTTTGAAAAGTGTATCAGGGAGGGAGGGGGTTTCTAGCTGTAGGGGTTTGTTATGTGTTGCTTGTAAACAATTTTCTTTGTCTCGTGTCTTCTCTCTTTTTGTGCCTTACCAAAAAACTACTTCAGGTCAAAATGCTGTACAGTTTTTTCTTTTTGATTTTTGATCAGATCACATCAGGATGTTATTTGATCAATTTGAATTATGATCACTGATGTTTTTTGTTTTGTTTTTTTAAATGAACTTTGGCCCAAAAATAAATGCTGTGACTGAAATATGTGTTTAGTTAATATTATTTAATTTCATTGTGAATTGTGGCTCACGGTACTGTCATTTAGAAATAGAATTTTCTATTTTACTTAAACTTGCTGAAATGTTATTGCTGTATTTTGAGAGTAAACCATTTGTCTTGATTATACAAGTTGTCCATTAAGCACAATTTAGGTTTATGTCTGGGATTAAATTATGGATTTAATATTGAGTAAACAATGTACTGTACATTTTTATAATAAATAACTTCAGAACCTAATTTGATAAATGTTTTAGCATTGAGACTGGAACCATGCAAATTTTGCAACTGTTTCTAAATAAAGGTTTTCCTTATGCACAGAAATTGTATTTTCATTTTTAAACTTTAGAACACTGATGCAAACATGGTGTTAAAAATTTTTACACAGCAGTATTTTACTTTCACTCAACTAATGAATTGTGTCAAAATTGTGCAATATACTTAGGTTTAATGATTCATTTTAACTTGATGGAACACAATGGAAACAAATAGAAATCTAAACAATTGTACAAAACCGGCACTATGCAAAATATTTTGGTCCTATTTAAGACATTTTCCATACCAAATATAAACTATAAAAAACTTATTTTCCAAAATAGCTGTCTTATCAGCTGTCTTTGATCTGCTCCATTAGTACAGTCTTTTGTAGTAGCTGCACATCTACAGGTGGAACATGGAATAAGTTCAGGACTGTTTTACTGTAGCCATATATGAAAGCCATAGGTTGATGAGTCCCTCGTAGTTGTTGTATCTTGGTAACATTTGCTTCCATTAATAGGTGTGTATACAGTTTGATCTCTGGATTTGTTGGGGTCATATCTTCACGTTTGTCATATCTATAATAATACATTGATTAGTACGTGTATTTTTTATGGTATTATAACTGACAAGAGTCAAAACTAAAACTGATACAAACCTCCAGTTTTTGTGCAGCTCCAAGAATCTTGATACACCAGTTTCAGCTGCAAACGTATCTATATGAACAATGACATCTGCAAAAAATGTCATTGAGAAAAATGTTAAAGTGAGCGAGCACAAAATGAAACACTAATGATAAACAAATATTTTTACTTGTGTTTGATGGCTGTAATCTGTGCAGTTCTAACATTCCCTTGCCTCCTGGGTAGTTGTGATGGGACACGTAAAGGCAAAAGCCCGAGTATCCTGTGTTCACGAGAAGATGACCAACAACAACTATAGACCCTAGTTTGTACATCCATGACTTATGATAGTTTGACAGACTGAAAGAAAGGCAGTTCTGTTGTGTTAGTTTTTTGGAGATATTGTGTATGTAATTATATATTTATTTTAGAATAATTTCAGTAAATACTTACATGAATGAGCATCCTCGAGCAGCCACCAAGCTTAGCACTGGGAAGGTGTAGATTATGAAGCGCAGCTCTTTATGAGGCAACAGTGAATACAAAAGGATAAATCCCACAGTGGGAAGGAAAATAATCCTCATCCGCCGATCAAGTAGGCCAAGAGGGACGAAAAACAAGGTGCATCCCAAAGCTCGGGGCACAGCAGAGTAAAAGTACCACAGAAAGGGAGAGGTTTACTAGAGAGAGCAGTCAAGGACAACATAATGTAAAACGCATCAAAACATTTACAGTGTAAAAATGAAATGAAAGGATATTCCCCAGTTTGAACTTTTGTTGAGGACAGTGTTGTACCACAAAACCTGTCCCTCAGGCCAAAGCGGTTTCCCCCAAAAGAATGTGTCTACTGCAACTGTAAGTCCTATAAAATACAATAACACATTTATAACCATGTAGTCGTAAAGATTCTGATACAGTGAATATACTAGATGTTAAACTTACCTAAAGACAGTATACCAGCAGGCAAGGCAAATGAAATTAGCTTTACTATGCCAAGTCTCCTGCTTAGTAAAGATATCAGTAACATCAGACCCATTAAGATGCATAACTCTGACCGAAAAACAATGATGACAAAAGCAGAGAGGCAAATAAAGCAGCCATATCTTTGTGCCATCCAAGATGTGAAGGCTACAAGAACTGTGAAATAAACATGTTCAACCGTTAGTGCACCAAATATAATATTTATTAGTTTTCAAATAATTAAAAGAACTTACCAATAGGTAGCGCAAATATATTGGGGAGTGTTCTCGTGCTGTAAAACATTAAATGGAACTGGGAAGCGCATGTAACACAAAAGATCCCTGCCACTGTGGAGCCAAACTGCCTCCTCACCTCTCTTTGCATGTACCAAAGTGCTCCAATGACACACACTCCCAAAGATGCACGTACTGTAAATGACACAAAACCCAAATACATTACATTTCATTTATATTATTAGAAAAGTAACAATATATAGAGAGCATTTTTATTTACCTATTAACTGTGCATAAAACTTTGAGGTGTTCATTTGTTGAAACAAGAATACAACAGGAGAGCTGAGACCAGACAAAAGTAAGGGCCCAAGGAAAGTCCGTGGAACCACTCCTGGGAACTCATGATGGTCATACTGAAAATGCAAGATATTGATATAATGTTAGTTCATGTTAGTACAGTTTGGACTATTACTTGTACGAGATATAATTTGCATTTGGAGTATCTGTTGTTGCTGAACAATAACAGTAATATTACAATAATTACAATAACAATTAAAAGACTGCAAATACATTCTTTATGATACTGATCATTTAAGGCTATATTAAATATTCAGCTTGGTACTGCTACTGCATTCCTTACCTTCTCAAACTCAAGTCTATGGAACAAAATGTCATGCGCCGCTTGTAAATTAAAGCTCTCTTCTACTTTTGTGAAAGGGCATATATATAAATGAAGGAGAGACACAGAAACTAACAAAAACAGTAGTGACAGCCCCCAAACATTCCTCTTTTCAGCCATGACAGCGCCAGACAAACACTTCCGCCAATGACAGGAAGTAGTATTCTGGTTTTATTAAATCTGTAAAAACAAAAAAAAAAAAAACATATATTTGTTTGCTTTAATCATAAAACTGCAACTACGTTTATATATCAGTCGAAGAACTATGTTTAAACTGGAACTGTAAGATTTTAAAATATTTTGTTAAGGTTCCTGAATGTTCCACGTGAGAAACGTTCTGTTTGTCCCGGGCGTGGCGGCCTCTCATTGGTTATATTTTTGATTGACAGGTCTTTCTGATCAATCAGCATCAGCCACAATTCGCCTAAGAGGCTGACGCGGAAATCTAAAACCGCATCCCCCTTTTTTCAAAGCCGGCATGTAAATACAGCTTATTCGTTGTTTGCATAGATAACGCTAATTTAATATGAACGGTTGGAGAAGGTAGTTTAGATGTTAGCGACGCTTTAGCGGTTTAGGAGCTCCGAATGGTTGTGCCCTGATGTGCATGCGATCTGAGCAGAAATGCTACTATCCTTGGGTCTAGATCTGCGGTTTTTGCGGCTATTGTTTTGTGTTTTTCTTGTTTTCATGTTTCAAGCAGCAGAGGCCAAGCAAGACTTGAAGAGCGCGTGTTCGACCTGTCGACAAATCACTGATAACTTCAGCAAGGTGAGAGTACGAGTCCAGATCTGTCAGTGTTCTTGTCCTAATGTTTATCATCCCTAATGAAATAGTCTTAATGCTTAGTCTCACTCCCTTCTCTTTTTAGGGCCTTGAGAAAACAGCAAACCAGAACTTTGGAGGAGGGAACACTGCCTGGGAGGAGAGAAAACTATCTAAATATGAAACAAGGTGAGGACAGATCTTGGATCAGTGCATTGTATGGGCTATAAAGGCCATACACACCACACCATCTCTACATACAGTGAGCAAGGTGCACACCTTCCTCATTGTATGTAGAGATGACTGTGTTCCATGGGCTCAAGAGCTACACAGCATACCAGATAAGCAAAACCTTTACACAAGTTTCAAGCCAGTTTACTCCCTGTGCCAAGTTCAGGTAAACACTAAATAGAAGGTTATTTGAGAATGGACTCCTGAGGAAGTAGTCACCAGGTAACTGTGTGGATGCTGAATGTTGCAATATACCCAGATATTGATTTGTTGTACAGTGAGTGTTTTCACCATGTATTTAATAAATCTAAATGTATAAAGTTAGTTTCAGAAGAATGGCAGTTACCTAATTTCCACTTGTATTCCCTGCTTAAATCAATGTACCCTATTACCTTTGTTTCAGTGAGATTCGTCTGATGGAGATTATTGAGGGGCTGTGCGATAGCAGCAGTTTTGAGTGCAACCGAATGCTAGAAGAACATGAAGAGCATTTTGAAACTTGGTGGTTCAAGAGGTATGTGTGGGCCAATGCACATGCACTTTTTCCTTTTACCTCTGACATTGGACCATTTCAGTTTTCAGTATTCCTTATGACTATTGCTGTGCAATTTCTTAAATTGTGATTAAATAATTTATAGATTGCTGTGATTAGCATCAGCATGATCTGTCAGCCAGTCTTGTTGCAGTGAAAGCATGCGGTTTAGGGAGGTGTGAGTTAAAAAATCTAATATTGTGATTGATCATTATGAGGGGGTTTAAGCATACTGTGTACCAGAAATGGTTACCATAGATTCATGTCTGCAGATTTGTCTACCTATCTTTTGTTTCAGCCTGAAGAAGTATGAAAGAAGTATGAAATGAAATGAGATTATTGTTCACACATGTCAGTAAATTATCCAATAAAACCTTATTTGTAGCAGCAATAGTACTACAAAAGTGATGATACTTTTAGAGTTAACATTAATTGCTGTTTTGGAGGGCAATGCTGAGTGTTAAAAGCATTGTGTTCAAGCTTTTAATGTCATGCAAGTTTGGTAACATCTGACTAGACTCATAATTCAACCTGCAGGTAAATAAACAGTTTTTATTTGTAGGAAAGCAAAAAACCCTGATCTCCACAAGTGGTTCTGCATTGAGACTGTCAAAGTTTGCTGTCCAAAGGGAACCTTTGGTCCGGATTGTAATGGTAAGACCCTTTTAATACAGCTGTTTTTCCTGTGTATTTGATTTGCTGAAATGTTTTCCAGCCTGTGTTGGAGGCTCTGAGAGGCCATGTCATGGCAATGGACAGTGTGATGGTGACGGGACTCGAGGAGGGAACGGGAAGTGCAGCTGTGACTCTGGATATGATGGGGAATTCTGCCTGGACTGTAGAGATGGATACTTTAATGAAGAGAAGAATGACACATTTTCCCTCTGCACAGGTACTACATATTTTGACAAAAGCTGACAAATAAAGCAGGTTGCACTAATAGCAAACCTGGGGTTGTTTTCTGTAAACAACTAAATATAAGCTGGTCTTTATTTGTTTGTTTTTGCTTATGGCAGAATGCCATTTATCCTGCAAAACCTGCAATGGACCAACTCACCAGGACTGTGATGAATGCAAGGATGGCTGGGAGGAAGATGACAATGAAGCTTGTGTTGGTAAGGAGACATTTTAGGAGACACTAATAGTTACTATGACTCAATTAAATCTTTATTAAATCTCTAATATAAAAATCATGTTACCCAGATGTCAATGAGTGCACTAAAGACCCCACACCCTGTAAAGAGGATGAGCACTGCCTTAACACCGAGGGTTCCTTCTCATGCAAAGGTAGAGAAATGTAAAATATCAAGATCTACCTATGATGTCATAGTGTGATAACCATATTACATTGTTTTTTGTCATTGCTAAACAGCTTGCGACAAAGTGTGCTCTGGCTGCACTGGTCCAGGACCAGAAAACTGTAAGGCTTGTGCCAGTGGGTATCAGGACATAGAGGGCAACTGCACTGGTATGTTTAAAAAAATATATATATTCTTGCATAATTATATTGACTTACAAGGCGTTTAGGAGAGATAACTAAAAATGAAAATATCAATAAAATGATTGTGTTTGGATAGATGTGGATGAGTGTTCCCAGCAGGAACCAGTCTGCACCAAAGAGCATCAGGAGTGTGTAAATACGAAAGGCAGTTATCTGTGCATCTGTGCATATGGATATGAAGAGGAAGAAGGAGAATGTGTCCAAAAGCCACAGCCAGGTGAGGGCAGCCTTGTGTAAATTGCACATTTGTGAAGTACATCAGGCTTGACTTCACTTGAAATGTGTGTGTGTGTGTGTTTTTTTTTTTTCTTTTTTCTTTTTTTTTTCTAATTCCAGAAAAAGAACCATCAGAAAGTTCACCAGATCCTGTTGAGACATCTGAACATGTGGAGCTTTGACAACTGGCCAAAGCGGTTGATTTTAAACTTGACTTCAGCACTTAGCACATCCTCTGGACTCAGACCAACAAGAGTGGTTACAAGTATTTTATCTGTCTGGGATCATGGATTTCTGGACTAAGAGACATTTAACTAATTTTTTTTCATTTTTATGTTTCACGTTTGCTCAACATGTCGTGTCATGTCTTTTTAAAATAAGGAAGGAAAGGTATTAAAGAATCTAAATTTCAATTTAATTCAAATGGTTTGGAATTTTTGTTTTAATTCAGAATTGTGATCTTTCTTGAAGGTAATTTTTCAAATGGTGTAGTGAATAGACTCCACCACCAGATGGCAGTACAAGCTCATAGTTAAATTGACGCATCACCAAAATGGCTTGTATTCAGTGAATTAATACTGTCGTACATCTTTACGCTTCTCACAAAAGGATTTATTTAAATGCAATTTAAATTAGAGCTATAACAGGAATGATTGAACACCACCGTACTTTCCTACTTGATGAATAACAAACTGTAGTAAACATTCCAAAATTTGGGTCGGTCTACATGACTTTTGCTTGTCTTATTTTGAAATTGAATTGGATTAGTCCTGATTTAATCCTGTGCTCTTAACTAATGCATTATACCCGAAAAAAGCAGCTGTAAAGAAAATATCTACCTACCTACCTAAGCAGTCTTTAAGGGAAGTGCCTGTTCCCTGTGCTTCCTAGTCACATAATTGGGAAACACCTTTTAAAGATCCTGTTCAGTGGGACCTTCCTGTGGCCCTCATTTGGATCAAAGCATATTTTCCTAACCCTGGTCTCACATTGCCATAAAACTCTAGCTTCCTGCGTAGTGATGTCAGCTGTTGGGACTTGATAGGACCCTTGGAGGTGGAGGTGCCAGAGCCAGTCCAGACCTGCCTAAACGGGAGGTGCAGCAGCTGGGAGGCAGTCGCACTCAGCCCCCTTCTTAGCACATAACACTTACAACACTGCTTCTGTTTAACCCCACAGCTCAGTTACCTAATGCCCCAAGATATGCCAACAAAGGGCACGACCAGCATTTATCTGTCATTGGGTAACAGTAAACACAGCAAAATTAGATCTCATGCAAATCTGGGTTAACACTGGGTTGGAAGTAGAAGATAGTGCAACTTTATCATACATTTCTAAATAATATAACTATTTGGATTAGCCACCTGCCTGTCTCTGTAGTGATTTTTATTTATTATTAATTTTTTGTCTAAAATGTTCCACAGTAAGGTAATACAACAGCTATATCTATCCTGCATTTAGTCAATTCCAAAATTATTTTTGCGAGTGCGGTTGCCTCTTCACAGAACTGACCTGTAAATTAATCGGGTGACATCTTCATTGAGACAGATAAGTTTAATGCCATACTGGAACATTCTAGCCAAAGCAATACAATCTTCATGGAGACAAGCAGGTGGCAAACCCCGCACCATCAAGTTAGGCGACATATTGTACTTTTAAAACCTGGTGCTCAGCCGAGACAAAAGTGGGTCTGAACAAGGTTTGAACCACTACCACAGTTGACTGAATACTAGCCTGTATGTTGTAAACTGCCAGTTACAAAGGAGACCATTATACATTGGCTTTCCTATGTAATGTGCATAGAGTGTATATATAAATGAACTAAATAGGAAATAGGACGTGATCATGGGGGTGCTTTTGGCTCCATCAACTCTGACTCCAACTGACTATACACTGAAAACTTAGCACCCCTCTCTCTGTAACTGCTGCAGTGAGCCTTGTCATTTTGATCTTAAAATGTTCGTATTAACCTGCTCTACATGATCCCAGTGTTCATGTTAATTAATGTATTGTAGGCTAAACAACAATATTTAACTTTCTGGAGGTTGAGTGTCATCTGCATGATTCAATGGAAATAAACTAAAAAAACATTCTTCAGAACAATTTCAGTGGAGCTAGATCAGTTTTATGTCATAAGTAACATACTGTTGCATTAATGGGGTTACTGCACTTCATTAAAGGTGCAGTGTGTAATGTTTCTGATGAAGTGCCTGTCAAATGTAGCCAGATTCATCAGCTGGTTTCACTTTGTGGAAACCATCTGACCTTGCAGCGTTCGCTCGAATTCGTTCGCTCGACTGTAGGCAGGTACTTTTTTTTTATTTAACCAATCGCTGCTATTTGGTCATGATGTATGTAATGCACCACTAATGGGGCTAACTGATATATTAAGCTTTTCCCAAATCCCGTAGGAAGACTTTAAATCCTTGATCTCGGGAATCGTTACCAACACAGAATGTATGACTCTTCGCTGATTGCCTGGTGCCCAGACTTGCACTTCCAGGGTTCTTGCAAACCGTCTAGTGTATTCCGATTCCTGACCTAGTCCCTGCAGAGAAATGTAATTGAGTGGAGGAACTAGATGGCTCCACCCTGGCTATGTCAAATGCTTTTCTCCATGGAAATGTTATTGTTTTGTGTGAAATGTTTTACAGTATGGTATGACTTTCTATCATCATGGAGACCAAACCAGATCAAGCACTTCTTCACACTGCTCCTCCTCTTCATCTGTTCGTCCGAAAGTCGTGCCAAATTTTGAGAAAAGGTTCACGTTTTTTTCAGATCTGCTCAGGTCAGATCTGTGAAGAAACAACCCCACTCACAATCAGATTATGTTTTTCTTGGTGTTTTTTAGCTACAAAACCACCTGTAATTGAATAAATGTAAGGTAGAGGTGATGGACCCTCCACCAGAAAAGTTACACAGTGTATCTTTAAGTATCAGTAACTTACAACACCATCTAGTGGTGTAAAGTACTTCAGGCTTTTTGGTCACATTCCAAAATCCATGGTAAATAGTTCTATTTGTTTTGGCTTATAGTAATACAGCCTAATTGTGAAAAGGTGTAACCATGAATCATCAAAACATTACTGGGAAAGAACAGGTATAATAACAACAACATTACAAACAATAATTTAAAGAGCCCATTAGTCAGCGGTAAATGTAATGTGTCATGAAAGGCTCAAGGTAGAAGCTGTTTGTCTCCGAGTGGACCGGGACTGAGAGCGCTACATCAGCAGCAGCTACGGTTAGCATGACTCAGCACAATGACTAATGCATGAGTCAGCCTATAAGCTAAGATACAAATGTAATGGATGTCAATTGATCTGGGGTTTTAGGTGATGGTTTTGTAACAGGAGATTTGCCTTTTGTAAAATAATGCTATAGAATGTAGTTGTAAAAGTGAGATGCCTATGAGTAACTGCCAACTATGCTCTTTGCAGTAACGGAGGTCTATTGATTTTAGTTCAGGAAAAATAATATACTCAAGCCACTGTTATAATGCTCCTGAGAAGTGCAGTGTTTCTTCCTGCTGGAATTTAAAGTCCTTGATAATTTGTTGTGTTAGTGTTTAAAAGTTTATCTTGACATTTTGATTCTATACATTTAATGATTGTGGATTAGACCAATATATAGCCCTGTAGAGGTTTAGAATGAAAAATGAATAATGGGTCAATATTGACATTTTTATTCTAGACCAACTATGATCATACCTTATTTTTAAAATTTGAAGGCAATATTTATATATAAGTTATTTAAAGGGCTCATATTATTTTTTGACTTATGTTATAATGTTGTTTCCTCATCACAAACCTGGAGTTGTTTTTTGTTCATTCACATGTTTAAAACACAAACTCTGATTTAGGCAGAATTCTTCTCTAAAACAAAAATGTGGTAACACAGGAAGTGCTCCACTGTGTTAAACTCCACACACCTTCAGTCGAATCGGTTGGATGAATTCAGCCCTACCTCTATATGACATCACAAGGTGGCAGAGGTTGGACCAAGTCGTTATTTTGCAAGTCTCAAGTAAGTCGGATGTCTTTGTCAAATACAGGCAAGTCCAAGTCGAGTCTCGAGGCACTGGCCCATAAGTCCAAGTCAAGTCCAAATCGTCTGTTTTGAGCTTCAAGTCATTTCAAGTCTTTAAACTTTA